AAATCGCCGTCTGGTCTCTAAGGCACATGCGTCACCTGTGCATGCGTGCAGCACATGGAATTTACAAAAGTTGTCGACGTGAAAAGTTAGCACGTATTCCATGATTTCGCGGGCGATGAAATCACATACAAACGAACATGCCGTTCGAGGTAGACCAACACTAAAGGAAGTTAAGCGTTTTCGGAACGGGTCGGTCTGCAAGCCCTATGAGAGATAAATTTCGAGCGAACATTTTGAGTGAATTTATCAAGAATCATGTTATACCAAAGGAGCTATCAACCGGGTCTATCAACTCTTCAACTTGATAAAAAGCATCTTAGAAACGTCATCGTATTTTTAGACGTGGTCGTGAACCAAGCAGAATCCCAGCACGAACTCAAGAACGTCTGAGCAACAAGAGCAGAAAGGTTTGAGAATTTGTTTACGAATGTATCTGTCCGATTACACCTAGGTAAAACGTTCTGAGAAACTTCGTTAAGTATAATAAAGTTAAAATCTCGAACTAAACGATATTCTCTCGTTATTTTCTTCTAACAGAGTTATGCGTCTTTACAAGAATGAAACCCATGTAGCGAATTATTGTACATTTAAGCTGAAAGAAACTAATGAATGTTGACCCCAGCAAAACAATTCTCTGCTTGCACTGTCACGCAATCCTGATGCAATAAAAGAATTATTCGAACACCATTTAGTGGATAAAGTCAAGAAACTGTCATGTTATAGGAGATTAATAAAGATGACACTTAGCTAATTTTTAAGTCTGTGCGTTTTGCCAAACCTCAGATATTCGTCGAAATATTTTGCACAAATTTACAGAGCCCATACAGTATGGAGCCGCCTTGTTGGTGTACCTCCGTGGAAACCAACATTGCGGCCGGAAAACAGTGTAAACATCTGGAACTTACTTCGGCTATGTAGACGACTGATTATCTGTATTGAGCAAACAAGCATTTACATAAGCAATTTTCTCAATACTTTAACTTCTGAATGGGCTAAAAATCATGAGATAAGTATATGTTTTTCGCCAAACGCGTTCGTAGCTCAATGTCAGGCACCGCCATAACTCGATCTGAAATTCAAAATGTCTCGCTTGCTTGGGAAACGCAAAAACAACAGCAACAACGACAAATGCTAAGGAAAATAGACTGAAACGTTCATAGGCTGATATAAAGATCTTGACTCATTTCACTCCCTGAAGACCTGCAAACTAGTATTAAGCTATTAATCGATTCCAAGAAATGCAATCAAAGGCAGAATAGCTTGAGCACATCCATTCGATTGAATTTCGTACGACTTCAAATGCAGAACATTTATCTCAATTGCAATATAGCTTGTGCTTCTCAGTATAATAACTGTCGGCTGGGTACACGCAGCAGGCGTCTAGTTGAACATCTAGAGCAGTTTTCAATTGAGTGTCGTAAAACCAAAACTAAACCAATTACTTACCGATTAGAGCGTCATTAGACTACTCAGCCAATCTCAAACCATAGTAAAACCAAAACCAAAACCAAAGTAACTGCCTAATTACTTCGACACTCAATTGAAAACCGGTCTATGGGATGGCGCCAATTACATGACAACTAGGCGCGCGAAGAACCAATCGCGATCGAGAATGTTTTTATAGATACTATTAAACAGAATACTGTTTATCTTTTTGTGTTTCAATGAAAAAAGAAAGATTCCAGAATGGAGAAACAATCTATAGATTTGTTGTGGCGTGTTTTTAGAAGTAATAATAACTTTGTGAAAAGAGAGAACGTGTCCAGGCTGCTGCTAACAGTAGCAATGTTACCTGTTTTGTTTGATAGTTTGATTCTTTGTTTGCTATTTCTCTACAGTTCAAATTGTGCGTTTTTTATCGGTGGCAGGAAAATTACATGGAATGACAAAGAAAATAAAAAGTTAAAATTTGGTTTACGATCACCCTGCCTCTTTAAAAGACGACCAACACATTGGCCCCGGCAAAAGCTTAAAAGATCTAACAATTTCGTATCTAGAATCCGAGTAAAAACAAACACCTCGTTAATGTGACCAAGGCCGCCAGGACCATATTTTGGACTTCCAACCTTTGTTTTCTTTATATATTTACCCTTTTAATACTTCCACTCCAACATCAGATTAGGTGAATAGTAAAATGTAAATAGAAACTGAAAAAGATTGTTTTCAGTTACTATAAAATAGCCCAGTTCTGTTTAGTACATTTTCAACAGGAATAAACGCGTGAGCCACAATTTAGTGATATACACTGAACCAATCCCGTTGATATGATTGCGTTTTTTAGGGGTGCACTGTACTCGTATTTATTGATGCAAATGCACTGTATATTTTCACGTTACGTGACCAGAGGAGAAACTTCAAACACAAACATGTGAGCTGGACCGAGAAGTACAACAAGGAGAGGTTACAAGGCAAATGCATAAAGGAAGAAGTGTTCTCGCTTTTTAATCTAAAGCTGTTTATTGCCACAAACAAGACTGCAAGATCATATGATTCTTAAAAATATAGGTCAAAACGTTTCCAGTTTCAAGCGCATATTTCTCGTCAATGCTATTTCTATAGACTCAGTAGAAGACGTTACGAAGTTTCACCGAAAAGACATTGGCAACACTTTATATTTATATTTTGATAACGCCTTCCTACGCGTGCCAATAAATGACTATAATAATACAACACTTATAAAGTAACATGGTACATTGAGATTTGAACAAAAAACTGTGAGGCATCGGTGCAATAGACCTGTAACCTGTAGAGTAACCAACATACCGAGCAAAATCAGTTTTGTTAGAAAATGGATTTAACTGGCAAACTTATTCCTAAAGGAGTATCTTTATTTAGAATTAAATCTTGGCCTTAAATGCAAGCACTACGTTTCTCATTATTAATTAATTACAGTGCAAACTAGAAATGAAGCTTCGTGAATTTTCTATTTTAGAAAATGTTTACTGCAGACTCATCACATTTACTTACTTCTAACTGTTTCTGTAGCTAAACAAGTTTCACTAATAGCACACAAGCACACAAATATGTCAGTTCTGGATTGCGACTAAAGCAGCAATGATCTCGATAATAAAAACTGATCAATTAGGACTGGGGCCTAGACAATTCTTCAATCATTATCCGGGACACCGATTCCCATCCAGTGTAAGCTTCACCCAAAGTACTGCCACTAGGACAAGATCCTACCCATAATTCCACTCTAACCGTGCCCTGTGGAATGTTTTCACAGTATCCCTCAAATGATCGATGATGAAGCAGATTGGAATTCTCAGCAGATGATGGCCAATAGTTGTACACAACAGCTTCGACTGTCATTGGCCCACTGCATTCGTTGCCATTAAACTTGAAGAACCACCGGTTACACTTTCCAGAACCAATGACTCTCATATTTCCCTGGAATGAGACTTTGATCGCTGTATCAGACTGCAGCTTATTGAATGAACAGTCCTGTGTAAACAAAGTGAAAACATATTATGTTGATGCAGTCATGATATCATTTATACTCATGGCATGAAGTGAGACCACGCTTCAACCTTTATTTTAAAACAATTGTTTTCAAAGCTACAGAGCTTGTGGGGTCGTTTAACAAAGGATTTAATGTGCATATAAACTCGTAAAAATTTACAGGTCAGGCAACAATCAGTTGTGCTGGTTGAACCGGAAGTGTCTCTGTTCTATTTGCAATGCTTTTCCTTCATTTGCGGTGTCCTCAATCAACAGTGCGAGATCAATTGACATTTTTGACTCCTTATAAGTACCGGAATTATCAAACTCTCCGACCTAAGTTAAATTACATCCGAGACTTTTTTTCTTAACAGTGAGCTTCCTCTTGGTATCCCAACAATAATTATAAAAGATCTTCTCCTTGTAGGCTCGAATTCCAGCCGTTTAGGGAGTCCGCTTGTTAATCCTCCTCCCGGAGAACGGGGTGGATTGGGGCAAGAAACGCGCGCTCACAAAAAGGATGGAAATCGAGCCTAATCTATGGAAGACTCCTGGATACCATGCTACAACTAGGCTCTTGTAAGACACCGTCTTACAAACTGCAAGCCTGAATAATATGGAAGTGATATATCAAAGAATAATAGGAAAAGAGCCGCCAGTATTCCACTTATTATTAACTGGCTACAAGAAGTAATATCACTTTCGCCACCCTGTTAACAAACCAGCTGGTTAATATGATATCTTACTCATACCATTTCCACACTAAAAAAACTTCTTTTCAGATTTTAAAAGATTTGCAGCAATTGTACTCAAATTTTGAAAACTTAATTCTGATTCCAGAGGCCCCAGCAGGGCTCTTCGCCGGATACGGGATATATAGGTAACAGAATTAATGGGATACAGGATATTTAAATTCATGAGATATGGAGTATTTACAACAGAAACCCCGGATTATAACCCATCATGTATGTTATCTCGCGCGCGATTAGTCTAAGCGAGTCACGTGACTGAATGTCCCCCAGCTAAAACTGGGGAATATCCGAGTGACATCCCCCAATTTTCCAAGCCGCGCATGTGGCAAAAAAATATTTGAAGGATAATAAACACAATAGTCTCCATTTGGCGCGAAAACGTGCTCTGATATTTGGCCTTGGACATTATCTGCATGTTGCACAAAGTTCACGGTTGTGCTCGAGCTACGCTCTCGGAAAACTGTTGGCTTTTTGGGAACAGATAATGTCCTCGAACAAATATCCGTGCATAATTTCACGCCAAATGGAGGCTATTGTTTATTTATTAAATTCTCAACCTCGGATAATGCAATTGTAGCTTTCTGATTGGTTCACTGGATCTCGGTTACCAGCCAGTATACCTGCGTTTGATGTTATATGGAAATGAATGCGGTAAATGTCGCTCGGCATAAACGTTTTCGCGGGAAGCCAAGTTTCGTCGCCAAAAAAATGGATGAGAAAAGCAGATTCGGTGAGCTATCTACAGAAGAAATACAAGAAATTATGGACAATGCCGTCCCAGTAACAACAAAAAAGCCACAAAGTTCGAGATCAGATTATTTAACGGTACGTATACGTTAAGTTTCCCTCAAAAGTTGCAAAATTAAAATATGACCGTCGAGATTTTACGCATTCATCAAGATTATGCAACAAAAACAATGTTTACCTTAACAGAATGGCTCACTAGTCCTGGTGGCATCAAATTTTCCAAACCGACGTAAGAAATGTCAAAAGAACAACTGAATGTTTGTTTGAAATGTTTTTACACTTCTGCGAGGAAGAAAGATGGCACGTATTACAAAAGTTCATCCACGAAATCCATAAGAGCCGCCATTGACCATTTCCTTCGCACGCCACCGCACAACAAACCGTTTTCCACTATCTCTGACCAGGCAAATAAATTATTTGAGCATTTGTTAAAGGTCTCAGGAAAACAGGCATAATTGCCGGCGTAGTCCATAAGAAACCAATTTACAATGAGCAGATGAGGAAACTGTTCGACTTAAGCGAGCTCGTATCGGTCGAGAGTAAAAATCCCGCACAGCTACAGAGGACGACCTAGTTTTATCTCGGTCTCTTTTTTGGCCACGGAGACCAGAGAATCAACGACAGTTAGGGCCAACAATTCTGTCCTTGCGAAAAACACCTCAAGGAGTTGAGTGTTTTGAGCTGAACCGAAGTAAGCCCGGTTCTTTACCAGCCACGAAAAACCATC